CCGTCCCATCTTTAATAAAGTCACTGCACACTATACGTTAGAAAACTCTCTCCAGTTCCTAGACCATCTTGACAGCTACGCCGTGACCCCGACGCCCCGACAGTTCACCTTTGACATTACTGACTTATACACTATGATTCCTCAAAAACAGTCCGTTGCTGCAGTTTGTCGACTTCTTTCAAAAACAAAAAATCATAAAATAGACGGTATTTCGATCGACACCATTGCTAGATTGTTGCGTTTCATACTCAACACTGCATTTTTCGCATTAGGGAAAAAATACTACAAACAAATTAAAGGTGGTGCGATGGGGTCAGCAGTGACTCAAGTGCTAGTCGATGTTTATATGATGGAATGGGAAAGTGACATTCTAGCAATACAATTAGACGAAAAAGAAATTTATGTAAGATTTCAAGACGACATTCACCTGACTACAAAACGACCCCTTTTCGACTTTGTTGACATCCTCAAAAAACTTGACTCTAAAGATCCGCACATAAGACTAACCTACGAAACCGGAGATTCAGTTGACTATTTGGACGTAAAGCTTCACCAATTTTGTGGTCTTCACACTCTGAAGACTGCAAAACAGAGGTATTCAATATTCGAATTAGACTCCTACTCAATGGCTACCCATCCAAATTCATAGACGCCCATTTCGACCTCTTTGTCAAAGATATCCGCTTACGTAACCTTGACTCTCTTTTCGAGAACCAAAGCAAATACGATTACTGCCGTACTAACGTTAGAGACCTAAACTGGACGAGTGGCCGACTACCACGCAAACAAATTAATCCGCAAAAAGAGCTCCTTATCCATTTTTCATACGTGCCTTCCATTTCACGCTTTGCCCCAAATTTTACCAAATGTGGACCGAGACATTTGAAAACACTCCCCTTACCGCCGTTCACCCAATTTTTGCTAATCGTGTAACTGAAAACCTCACCTAAATGCTAATCCGAAAGAAACCTTCAAAAAATATCTTAAAACCACCCCCAGAAACTTTTAAAAAATATCCTGAAATCACTTTTAGATAAAATCTGAGAGTAATTTTTATGTACGTGCTGCCGCGGTTTTTTGTTTCCATTTTAGTGATACAGTGCATCGGACGAAATGCAATAACAAGTATGATCAAAACGACACAAAAACAAGAACAATTGGCACTGCTAGTGACATTATAAACACTCTCACCCGCATCTTTAACATTCTGACAAATCCAAAACCTATTAGCAGAAGTATGTGCTTTTAAGTATAAAGAACAAGGAAGACGTGAAAACGCTTTCCTTCTTCTTTCGTTTCCTCACATCATAGAAAGAAAGGTAGAAAAGCTATCTTTTTCCTCCTTTCCTCGCGTTTATACCGGAAAACCTATCGATGCAGTTCCTGGTAAAGTAATCAGATCGGAAAAGGCGTGACGTTGATTTCGCAAACGAGTCGCACGCCGGCCATGGTGGCTACAGATATCACCAGTCCGCACATCACCGCACAACACTATTGTAAATCAAACGCAGCAGTTGACAGCACCTCAAATATTTGACGGGTGTGTACTATGTTCTGTAGGAACGGGTGGCGAGAATTGTCCGACACAGATTATAAATTCGAACAAAAAATGGAAAATTACTCAAGTGTACATGTGGCTCCACTATAGCCGGCGTTACAGGCAGCGCATATTCCAGGACTTGTGCAATTTCCGGTTTTGCAATTGCGGTCGCATACAGCTAGAAAACGAAGATTGTCATCAAAGATTGCGGCTCGCAGATTATCCAGTTTCGTCAAAGGTTCATGAGATAACTACCTAACGTTCGGTGCAACGCCGCAAAAGAAAATGGTTTCACCGTCCGTGAGTTATCACTAGCGTAAGCGAAAGAGCTGTGGGACTTGGTGTATACGAAAACCTATCGATGCAGTTATTTCTAAAGGAATCACATCGGAAAAGGCGTGACGTCGATAGCTCAAACGATTCGCATGCGCGCCATGCTGGGTACAGACATCACCGTACTTCGCCCGAGAACACTATTGTAAATCAAACGCAGCAGTTGACACGACCTCAAATAATTGACACCTACGTACTATGTTCTGTAGCAAGGGCTGGCGAGAATTATACTACACAGCCTGTAAATCCAACAAAAGACGGAAAACTACTCACGTGTACATGTGGCTTCACTATAGCCGGCGTTACAGGCAGCGCATATTCCGAGGCTTGTACAATTTCCAGTTTTACAAATGGGGTCGCATGCAGCTGGAAAACGGAGATTGTCATGAAAGGTTGCGACTCCCAGATTATGCAGTTTCGAGAAACTCCCATGAACCAAGAGCTTAACGTTCGGTACAAGGAGGCAAAAGTAAATGATTTCACCGTCCGTGAGTCATCACTAGCGTAACCGTGACATTATTAGAAATCTCGGTTTTTTCGGCGAAAATCCTCCCAAAATCTCCAAAAAGAAAATTTCCTTTTTATTCAAGTAAGTTTTTAGATAGAGTACAATGTGCTCTATTCGATGAGTTCCTTGAATAGAAATTTCAATTATCGTAGAATTTTTATACGAATGATCCCAAAACCTGTAACCCCCAAATGCAGGTTTTCCAGAATCCCATTGTCAAAGTCAAAATGGAAGAAAACCGATATTGAAAACTGAATTCCTCTCATTTTTGATTTAAAAGAAATGCAAGTGACAAAAAAGGAAATAATACAAAATAGCCACATGCTATTGAGTTCAAGCATGACATAAAAAGATAGTGTTTCTGTTTCTGGTAATATTGTGCTGCCTCATTTCGGTTCTGTTCATCTAAGTTGGCCAGTAACCCGTTTGTCCATTCGGATTACTCGTTGCACCACCACCAATATTCGCTTTGAGCCAGCAACTGTTGGTGAGTGAGTTCCACGTGAGAGCAATACAAGAAGAAGTACTAGCACATTGATTACAACAAAGTGTATAAGTGGCTGTTATAGATGGTGAAACAGGTAGATTAGTTGCCCATGGATAGTCCAATTGGGGTTGCATAGGAGCACTGCAGTCGCCTATCGACAAAAACATGCAAACGATTAAGAGCCATTAAGAATAAGCCACGACCTATTACCATATTATGCTGCTCAATCACTTACGGCTCAGTAACGACATATTACTTAGACAAAAAACTTAGTTATAACTACTCAACTAGTAATAAAAACAGTTTAACATGTGCAACCAGACATGCTCCACAAACTGGCGGACGTCAAAATGCCAACTTGGGGAGAAAAACTCCATGGTACAGTTTTAATTATACCTATTCAAACTTATAACTACTGTTCTGTGGAAAATAGTGGCGAGAATTGTACAACACAGCCTCCAAATCAAAACAACAAAAAGGAAAAACTACTCACGTGTACATCTGGCTCCACTATAGCCGGTGTTACAGGCAGTGCAACTTCCGGGACTTGCACAACTTCCAGACTTATCAGCAGCTTCACCGAAATAGCTGTCAGACTTCATGCAAACGAAAACATATCCATGCAGTTCCACCACCTCAAATATTTGACACCTACGTACTATGTTCTCTATGCAGTTTCGTCAAAGGGTCATGATACCACAGGCAAAAGAAAATGAGGCCGATATTCATCACTAGCGTGAAGGAAAAGGCCGTCGGACTTGGCATAGACGAAAACCTATCGACGCAGTTCCTTCGAAAGCAATCAGATCCGAAAGGTGTGAAGTTGATTCCACAAACGAAACGCATGCGGGCCATGCTGGAAACAGATATCACCAGTCCGCACATCACCGCACAACACTATTGTAAATCAAACGCAGCAGTTGACAGGACCTCAAATATTTGACAGGTGTGTACTATGTTCTGTAGGAAAGGGTGGCGAGAATTACACTATACAGCCCCTAAATCAAAGCAAAAGACGCCAAAACTACTCACGTGTACATGTGGCTCCACTATAGCCGGCGTTACAGGCAGCGCATATTCCAGGACTCGTACAATTTCCGGTTTTGCAATTGCGGTCGCATACAGCTAGAAAATGAAGATTGCCATCAAAGTCTGCCACTACCAGATTATCCAGTTTCGTCAAAGGCTCATGAGATAACTCCTTAACGTTCGGTGCAAAGCCGCCAAGGAAAATGGTTTCGCTGCCCGTGACTTATCACTAGCTTAACCGAACGGGCTCTCAGACTTGACGCAAACGAAACCCTATCGATGCAGTTCCTTCTAACACCATCACATCGGAAAAAGCGTGATGCCGATAGCTCAGACGATTCGCATGCGCGCCATGATGGCTACACACATCACAGTATTCTAAATCCAACGCAACAGTTGACACCACTTCAAATATTTGACACCTACGTACTATGTTCTGTAGGAAGGGCTGGGGAGAACTGTACTACACAGCCTCTAAAACCAAAAAACAAAAAGGAAAAACTACTCACGTGTACATGTGGCTCCACTATAGCCGGCGTTACAGACAGCGCATACTCCAGGACTTGTGCAATTTCCGGTTTTGCAATTGGTCGAGCATACAGCTGGAAAATGAAGACTGTCATCAAAGAATGCGATTCATAGATTATACAGTTTCGTCAAAGGCTCATGAGATAACCCCTTAACGTTCGGTGCAAAGCCGCAAAGCAAAATGGTGTCGCCGCCCGTGACTTATCACCGCCTTAACGGAAAGGGCGGTGAGATCCGGCGCAGACGAAAATCTGTCGAGTTAGTTATTGCTAAAGCCATCTGATCGGAAAAGGCGTGACGTTCATTTCTCACAAAATCACACGCGGCCCATGGCGGCTACAGATATCAACAGTCCGCACTTCACCGGACAACACTTTTCTAAGTCAAACGCGGCGGTTGACAGCAGCCGGCAAATTACACAAACAAAACGCCAAAGCTACTCACGTGTACAGGTGGATCCACTATAGAAAACGAAGAGTGCCATCAAACTCTGCGGCTACCAAATTATGCAGTTTCGTCAAAGGCTCATGACATAACCGCTTAACGGTCGGTGCAAAGAGGCAAAGGAAAGTGGCTTCACCGTCCGTGACTTATCACTAGCTCAACAGAAAGCGCAGTGAGGCCCGGCGTAGACGTAAACCTATCGATTCGTTGATTTCTCAAACCAGTGGCACGCAGGCCGTGCTGGCTACAGATATCACCAGTCCGCACATCACCGCACAACGCTATTCTAAATCAAACGCAGCAGTTGACAGCACCTCAAATATTTGACACCTATGTACTATGTGCTTTAGGAAGGGCTGGAAAGAATTACACTATACAGCCCCTAAATCAAAGCAAAAGACGCCAAAACTACTCACGTGTACATGTGGCTCCACTATAGCCGGCGTTACACGCAGCGCATACTCCAGGACTTGTACAATTTCCGGTTTTGCAATTGGGGTCGCATACAGCTAGAAAATGAAGATTGCCATCAAAGTCTGCGGCTACCAAATTATCGAGTTTCGTGAAAGGCTCATGAGATAACTCCTTAACGCTCGGTCCAAAGCCGCAAAGCAAAATGGTGTCGCCGCTTATCACTGGCTTAACGGAAAGGGCGGTGAGACCCGGCGTAGACGAAAACCTACCGATGCAGTTCCCCGTAAAGCCATCTGATCGGAAAAGGCGTGACGTTGATTTCTCAAAGAAATCGCACGCGGCCCATGGTGGCTACAGATATCAACAGTCCGCACTTCACCGGACGACACTTTCGTAAGTCAAACGCGGCGGTTGACAGCAGCCGGCAAATTACACAAACAAAACGCCAAAGCTACTCACGTGTACAGGTGGCTCCACTATAGCCGGCGCTGCAGGCAGCGCATACTCCAGGACTTGTGCAATTTCCGGTTCTGCAATTGGTCGCGCATACAGCTGGAAAATGAAGACGATTTATAGATTATGCTGTTTCGTCAAGGGCTCATGAGTTGGAAAGGAAAGTGGTTTCACCGTCCGTGACTTATCACTAGCTTAACGGAATGGGCAGTCAGGCCCGGCGAAGAGGAAAACCCATCGATGCAGTTCCTGGTAAACCAGTCAGAACGGATAAGGCGTGACGTTGAT